AGAAAGCAAAAAATAGGGAACAATTCTCGAAACAAATTGACTGGCAGAGTGGTCTACCAATAAACGCCAAAAAAGGAACAATTCTCGAAATAGATTAACTAGCAGAGTTGTCTAGCAATAATCGCCAAAAAAAGAAGAAAAAAATGGCGTTTCTCCTTAATGTTTCTTTATGTTTTTTCTGCTTCTCCTTCCTGCGTGACTTGGTCGTCTACTCTACTTTGCCGCAGAGTCGTTAAACTCTACTTGATTTTGCGAAAGTGCTGAGACCGAATGATTTGCTGGTCATGCGAATATCTGTCAACAAATCCGTGAGAACGAAACAGTTTCAAGCTAAATATACGTGTGAATTGGAGAAACTGTCTGAATTTGTCTTTTTGTGAAAGCTTGATATCATATGAAATCGGCCGCTTGTGTGGTACTGTCCAAGGAAGAAATTAATTGATTGAGATAATTAGTTAATTACTAGTCTAATTATCAAAACATTTACCGTCAATTGCAACTGATTTTCTTTTTCTTCAAATAGATTTAGCTACAGTAATTCGTAACACATGGATTGTCATGAACATTCTTGTAGAAGATAAGATAATTATTTTAGTAGACTGGAATTATGGTTACTCATAGAAACCAAGACCTAAAACAACCATAAACTGAAATTTATAGGTTTACCATCCGAGAACAAGAGGTACTATAACATTTATTTCTTCAAGCCAATCTAACATGATTTTCATAAACATCTGTAGTATAATCGATATCTAAAAGAAAGGAGTACCTCGACCTACTCCTAGAACTACCCTCAAATGTGTACTTAAGCGTCTGTCCAAGGTATAACACTACCTATATTTTATCTAAATCACATGAATCTAGACATACAATACTCGAACAAAAGGTTAAGTCGATGGTAACTCGACTGCTTATGTAGCTGATCAAACCATCTTTCTATGCTGTTCTTAAAACAAATAGACAGCTAGATAGATAGATAGAGAGAGAGAGAGAGAGAAGAGAGAGAGAGAGAGAGAGAGAGAGAGAGAGAGAGAGAGAGAGAGAGAGAGAGAGAGAGAGAGAGAGAGAGAGAGAGACGAAAACACACACGATATATATACAGTTAGGCCCTCGTCTCCTCCTTAAGAAGGCCCCCTTCTATATCTATCCCTTCCCTTGGCATCTGCTGCCTTGTCAGGTTGTCTCTCCACACAAGTCTGCTTTCTTAGGTCGTGTGACTAATACGTAATAATAATAATAATACGTGTAATATAATAATACGTGTAATATAATATAATAATAAAATAATATAATAATACGTGTAATAATAATAGTAATAGTAATACGTGTGATGTTATTTGAATCTATCTAATGTAAAGAAGCTTTTTCTTTTCCTTTTGCGGAAAATGATACTGAAGTTCTTGTGCGAGGAAAAGCGTCTAGTGTATTTAGGTCATGCTTATGGAATATATGTATGTGGAACGTATATATTGGTTCCTTTGGCTTCTCCTGAGGTTCGTGGAAAAATGGAGAAATAGTTTTCCTTCAATTTTTTTTCAGTCTATAGTGTTTTAAAAACCATTATTCCGACTAAGGAAAAACACACATTTATTTATCAATTTTTTTCCACGGAAATAAAGAGAAAGCAAAAAATAGGAACAATTCTCGAATTAAATTAACTGGCAGAGTGGTCTACCAATAAACGCCAAAAAAGGAACAATTCTCGAAATAGATTAACTAGCAGAGTTGTCTAGCAATAATCGCCCAAAAAAGAAGAAAAAAATGGCGTTTCTCCTTAATGTTTCTTTATGTTCTTTCTGCTTCTCCTTCCTGCGTGACTTGGTCGTCTACTCTACTTTGCCGCAGAGTCGTTAAACTCTACCTTGATTTTGCGAAAGTGCTGAGACCGATTGATTTGCTGGTCATGCGAATATCTGTCAACAAATCCGTGAGAACGAAACAGTTTCAAGCTAAATATACGTGTGAATTGGAGAAACAGACTGAATTTGTCTTTTTGTGAAAGCTTGATATCATATGAAATCGGCCGCTTGTGTGGTACAGTCCAAGGAAAAAAATGAATTCATTGAGATTTTCAATTAATTCTAGTTTATTCAACAGAACATTTACCGTCATTTACAACTGATTTTTTTTCTTTTTTTTTTTTTTTGCCAATAGATAGTTTTTAGCTACAGTATTTCGTAACACATGTTATGAAAATTCTTGTAGAAGATAAGATAATTATTTTAGTAGACTGGAATTATGGTTACTCTTATAGAAACCAAGACCTAAAACAACTATGACTTGAAATTTATAGGTTTACCATCCGAGAACAAGAGGTACTATAACATTTATTTCTTCAAGCCAATCTAACATGATTTTCATAAACATCTATTGCATAATCGATATCTAAAAGAAAGGAGTACCTCGACCTACTCTTGGAACTACCCTTAAATGTTGTGTACTTAATGTGTGTGTTAAATGTTGTGTACTTAAATGCTGTGTACTTAAATGTTGTGTACTTAAATGTTGTGTACTTAATGTTGTGTATTTAAATGTTGTGACTTAAATGTGTACTTAAATGTTGTGTACTTAAATGTTGTGGACTTAAATGTTGTCTACTAATGTATGTACTTAAATGTTGTGTACTTAAATGTTGTGTACTTAAAAGTTGTGGACTTAAATGTTGTGTACTAAAATCGTAGGTGTAACACTACCTATCTTGCATCTATATTACATTAGTTTAGACAAAGAATACTCGAACCGAAGGGTAAGTAGATAGTAACTTGCCTGCTTATGTCGCTGAGCAAACCGTATTTCTATGGTGTTTTTAATACAAATAGATAGATAGAGAGAGAGAGAGAGAGAGAGAGAGAGAGAGAGAGAGAGAGAGAGAGAGAGAGAGAGAGAGAGAGAGAGAGAGAGAGAGAGAGAGAGCACACACAACACATACACATACATACACTTACACACACACACACACACACACACACACACACACACACACACACACACACACACACACACACACACACACACACATACACATACACACACACACAAACACACACACACACACACACACACACACACACACACACACACACACACACACACACACACACACATTCATATATCCGTCGTTATAGGCGTGCCATTCAAGCATCGGATAATAGGAACCAAGAGGTACACTAAGACAGCCGTGAAGAACTTCATATTTCTTTACAACGTTTCAGAGATAATCAATTCTCCATCATCAGGATGTAATAAATGAACCAAATGATAAAAATACGGTTAGACAGTAGAGAAAACGTGGTTAAAATGGAATGTCATTAAATGAATATTAAAGACACTAATGTACATAAAAAATAAATAAATAAATCATAAAAGCAAATACGATAGACAATATATGACAATACAATAATACAAACATATGTACACAGAAATAAACAAAAACGAAAGAAAGAAAGGAAACACAAAAAAGTTCAGTATATGTAAACTATCCAATAAGGGCGTGAAAACAAGTCTAACACGTAAACAAGGTGGTT